AAACGGTTGATGCACAGGCCTTTGATTAAAAGAATTCATTGCATTAGCCTGTACAAAACCATTATTATTTCTCTTATTTACAAAGGAGTTATTTTGATTCATACTCATCATAGAACACATGCTTGTCATTTGTTTTGCTAACTCAGACATATAAACTATCAAATCAGGATTTGAGTTAACTTCATACATACCTTGTGTCCGTCCCCTTATGTTTTTCTGTTGGGAGTTTTCTCCTAGCATTTCATACAATGCTAAGGCCTCCTCCGCTGTTTTTTCTCCCATGGAACCTCCAGCTGCATTGTCAACTATTGATTGGCTGGTTTGTGTCAAACTATCATAGAAAGTTTGAATTTGCAGCTCCAATGGGTAGCCATGGTGAGGGCATTGAATGAGCAACATTTTGAACCTTTCCCATGCCTCATGGAACGGTTCGCCTTCAACTTGCAAGAAAGTTGTAATTTTTCTTCTTAATTCAACAGTTTTTGTATAGGAATAAAATTTATCTATGAACTTATTGTACACCTCCGCCCATGTCCGAAGGGATCCAGGTGTAAGAAACATGAACCATGTCTTTGCTGCATCTTTCAAGGTATACGGGAAACACTTCATTGAGATTCATCCTCCGTCAAGTCATTCAACGGAAAGTTTTGGACTACCCCGTAGAAATCTCGGATGAAGGTAAGAGCATCCTCGATTGCCGAACCGTGAAAAGACGGCAATTGGTGGTAGTGGAATGTCTTTAGCACATAGTTCCTACCTGCATTGGTAAGCACTATGCAAGAAGGTGAAGTTTCTATTTGTGGCCTACCAAAGTCTTTCATTAGCCTAGGGTTGGGTTGAGGAAGTGCAGCCATGGTTGTGGTTCAAGAATTGGATTTTCAAAAGTTTTTTCCTTTTTTTCTATCAATGTGGTCGTCTAAAGGCAATGGTTTAAGATTTAAAGAATGACGACCATGCATAAAATAAGATAACAATAAACTAAACAAGTAAACAAATAAATAAGCAAAACTAGCAAACGAATCAAAAGCAAATTGGAAACAACTAAACCAATATAACATTTTTTTTTTTTGTGATTAAGAATGAAAAAGAATTTTTAAAAAGTAGTATGGACTAATGAATTAAATAAATGAGCAAGATTAAATTGAAGGAAAAAAAATAGGAATAATAATAAAGAGATTGGAAAAAAAAAATCGGACAGTATAAAAAAATGGGGAAAATAAATAAAGGAAAGGGAAAACAAAAACTAGTATAAAATATAAAGATAACTTAAATACAAAATGATTGAAATTTAGGAGCTAAAGGAATGAGTTATGGAGAAAATATCAAAGAGCAGATTCAACTCAAATGCAAATTAATTAGAATTCAGAAAGCACAATAAATGAATTAACAAAAGCCAGAATAACAAATTAACAATCAAATAAAGCAGATAGAAAACAAGAACAAATATAAAGCAGCGTTTAGAATTAAAAATTAACGAAATCAAATTGCACAGTAAACAAATTTCATGGCAACGACGCCAAAAATTGATGGACAATTTTAAATATAATGTCCTCGCAAGTGCACGAGTCAGTGTAGTAATAAGGTGCAAAAGCAAGAGTCGAACCCACAGGGAATTGATACTAAGCAATTTAATTACTAAACTTAAAAGAAATAATTGACTTGATAATTTAAAGTACTAGAATTGAATGCCAAAGATAATGATCAATTTAAATGGAAAATAATTGAATCAAAGCTCAGATAAGTAAACATAAAGAATTAACTAAAATCGGAATATCAAATAACAATCGTGATGGAAAAACTTAGGAACATGAATCTAATTCCACTATTAAATTTGTACCTTAGTCTAATACAACCATTCATTAAATATCAACCATTAAAAGCAAATAAAACGAAGCTTAAATATTATAAATCAAATAAGATAGAGCTTAGCAAATATACTAGATCAACTATCATAAAGCTTAGCAAAGCATAAAGTAAATAAATCATAAAGTATAACATTCCAAGCACTAATTACAAAGTACAAAGTAAATTAATAATAAAAGAGAGTAGGAGAATGGAAGGAATATAAAATTGCTGATGCACAGAATGTAAATAACATGCCTCAAGATGGAATTGCCCCTAACAGTTAAACAAAGTATAGTTTGGATTGAAGAAGGAAAGAACCAGAATGCTGCCAAATTAAATTGCTACTGCCAAAATGATGTTAACGTTGTCGTGCAAAATTGAATTGAAGATGCCGATAGGAGCTACTGAGAACAGAGATCGCCGCCAAATGCCGACCCTGCCGTACCGACCGGAATTGCTCCGGGGTAGATTGATGATGAACACGAACATTGGCCTCCCTTTATATAATATCTAGACCCAACGACTTCCGTTCGAGTTCTCTGCTAGACGATGCTAGACGATCGGATCTCCCCAAGAATCGGTTGGCTGCAAGAATAATCGTTCTTCTTCCCGCATCGGCCGTCTCTCGTTCGTTGATTTCCAATGACGGAAGGAAGGGAGAAGATTTATTTATGGAATCCAAATGTTGGGCTGATACAATAAGTAAAATAACCTACTAACAATAATAAAAATAAAAATAATAATAGTAATAATAATAAAACACATTGAATTGAGGTTAAGAAATTATATTATCCTGATAGAATTCAAATAATAAACAAATTTAATAGAAAAAGTCCTAAAAAATGAATAATACTAACAAAGTTACTTATATAACAATAATAAATAAAATAAATATAAAATTAATCAATTATTGTAAATTAATTATAAAAATATTATTAAAAATAACACTAAAAATAATGTTTATCACGTGCCGTTAGGATGAATTGTTTGAGCCGTAATTTAAAACAACAGTAAAAGGAAACAATGTCCATTAAATGATCCAGAAAAACCAACAATCGAGGAAATCAAAGGTGTATGACAAATGGTAAACACATGTGTGTGCACTTAAGAAGATATGTGTGCTCCATAATGTCCAACCATAGAGTTAATCCAGCTGCCATGATAAAATACAGTGTGCACTTAGGTTATCATGTATGTGCCAAAACGTGCTGAACTCATTATAACGTCTAAATAAACCAAGAATGAGCTATCAAATTTCATAATCAGAATACATTAATGTACCCAAGCGAACTAATCTAGAGTAGTGCTCAACCAGCTAAGTGCAAAGATATAGATCAGGGCAGCGTGCACCTATGTTTAACTAAGTGTGTCATAATGTGTAGAATTAGTGACGATATGAACAGGTGTGCACGGTGGATGATCTGTGAGTGCCATAATGTGAAGAATAAGTGTGCCCATGAACAAGAGTGCACTTGGGTTGATCTTTCCATGAGAAAACACCGGGAGTTAAAAACCACATAAACCCGGACAATCCTCTACCTTTAGGTGTGCACTTTGGGGGAAATTGATGTGCTATAACATCCAGATTGATAGCGGCTATGCACCCATGCGAAAACACGGGGAGTAAAAATCCATGTATACCAGGACAGTTTTCTACATTTAGTGGTGCACTCTAAAACCCTGAAGTTGGTGTGCACCTGGGACATGCATTATGTGCCACCTTGTGCAGAGATAATGAAAGGTTGAGACATCATAAACCAGGAAAAAGTGATGCACTATGGAGTGCACTTCAGATTCTGGTATGTGACATCCTGTCCATAATTACTTACTGCAAGAAAACGCGTTAAAGAAGTTGGGGTGATCATGGGTTTCAAAATGTGTGCCAAATTGTTGTGCGATTTTGTGCCGATTTACTGACGTGCACTTAAGTTGGGCAATGTGTGCCATTACATGCAAAAAATACGCTAAATCGAAACCACGGAGGTGAGGTCCATGGAATACAATCCGGTGTGCACTAGGCTTAGTACGTCTGTGTAATGAGTCATTCCTGTTGGAAAAATCGGGCCCATAATAACGTCTAAATAAACCAAGAATGAATTATTAAATACCATAATCATAATACATTAATGTACACAAGTGATCTAATCTAGAGTGGTGCTGAACTAGCTATGTGCAAAGATATATATTAGGGCAATGTGCAGCTGTGTTATAATGCGTGTGCCATAATGTGTAAAATTGCTAAGGATACGAACAGGCGTGCACAGGGAATGATCTATGAGTGCCATACTGTGAAGAGTAAGTGTGTCCATGAACAAGGGTGCACTTTGGTTGATCTTTCCATGTGAAAACACAGGGAGTTAAAATCCACATAATCCAGGACGATCCTTTACCTTTCGACGTGCACTTTGGGGGAAATTGTTGTGACATAACGTTCAGACTGAGAGCGAAAAGATTGGAGAAGTCGGAATTGGTGTGCACCTGGGATATGCAGCGTTTGCCAAAATGTGAAGTGGTACTGACAGATTGGAACATATGAGATTAGGATGAGTGGGAGCTTAATGATGTGCACTTATATTTCACGCGTGTGCCATAATCCCCACAATTACATTCTGGACGAAAAGGCATACATAAATTTGGTTTGCACATGGGTAACACCATGTGATTCATATTGAGAAACGTTACACAAAACCATGAACTCATGTGCACCGAGGGTATTGTGTGCGTGCCAGTATGTGTTCTGGCCACCACTTAGGTAACACAAAAGGTGAGGAGTTTTGTGCAAGAGCACTACTAAAATAAATTTTCAAAAACTTTATTAAACACTTCTGAAACAAATTCACGAACAGTTTATTAATTGTAAGGAGTATGTGTATAATTGATGCCCGATTTTGCATTTTGACCATGAACTGGTGTGTACCTAGGGTGATCGCTGTGTGCCATCATGCTACAAACTTATGTGCCTTTGCGCAATATGTGTGGAAAATTGCATTGTGTGTGTTGAAATGTGCAAGCCTTACTAACAAAATGAAATTGCAATGAGTAATTCATGTTGGGAAAACCAAAATAAACCACAAATGAGCTAACAAATATCATAATCAAAATACATTAATGTACCGAAGCAAACTAATCTAAAGTACTGCTCAACTACCTACAAATTAAATGACCACACAAAGCTAGCTTTGTTGTAAGGTGTCATGGTATTCAACTACGCTACGAATGTTTTTGGAATGATGTATGTTAACCTCTACCGACAGAATATGACGCATATAACTCATCCTCAACAAATCAAGACCCCTAGTATCACCCTTTCGCAAGCCAAAATCCCACTCATGAACTGATTGGCCCAAAAAGGCCTCCATGTGCCGCATTGCAAAGACTCCGCAATCCATATTGTTATGCACATCGCGCCAACACATCTACATCCTTCTAGGGATATTCCAACGTATAGCAGCCCCATACTGAATATCCACCGCATCATCCAGGAATACCGATAACAAATCTTTCTGTCAAATGGCAAAGAGCATTACAGATTATTGCCAATCAAATGAGCCCCATAATAAGCAAACACTGAGATTAAATAAAACAATTGTGACAAATGTGAAACTACTACTTACACTAAGAGAGAATTGTGTGTGCCATACAGTCCACTCAAAATGATAACCAACCTGTCATGTAATAGTGCAACTAACACAAATGTTGAGCATTCATTTTTATACAGTAAACTGAAAAAGAAAATGGTGTGCCATTGGGCAGATCTCTGTGTGCCATACTAATGTTCAAAACTAAAAGTATGAACACAGGACTACTAAAATAAAAACAAAACGCGAATGGGAAATATAATAAACACATACCGAAACCTCAGGAGTGGCACCATACTTTTCCTCCACCGCGCGTACTCCATGTCGAAGACCGCCGCATCTGAAATCCACAAAACGTAACATAACGACACAATAAATAAGAATATTATTCTGGCCGTGTTAGGAACGATCTCGGTTAGCACTTCTCGCTGCCGCGAGAGTAGTTCAGATTCTCCGCAAAAAACAAGGGATTATGATAGGAACACGGCAGCCTATGAGTAGCAGAAGAGTAATTTTCGATGAATAGCACCGGAGTGTTACTGGAAGCTTGATATGAAGAGGAAAACAGTGCGTACATGAGAGAATTCTTGGAGAAGAAGAAGGAAAATAGGAGAGAAACAGTGCGTATAGGAGAGAATTCTCGGAGAAGAAGAAGGAAAATAGGAGAGAAACGCGGAAGAGATAGATATTGCTCAACTATAAAGACCAAAACATCCTTAGTTTTATAAAAATACAACAATTTTAAACTTAAAAATCCAACAAATTAACTTTAAATTTAATCCATTGATCATATTAAATAAATGGCTAAGATGAGTTCTTATGTTCCTACCTAAAGATGAGTTCCCATATGATTGTTAATCTATATATATATATATATATATATATATATATATATATATATATATATATATATATATATATATAGAATTACATTCATGTAAAAACATGACTTAAAATACAAACGTGTGGACATTTTTGGATCGTTGGATTTTGGGTATCTAAGGTTGTGATTAGTTTTTATGATTTTGTGTGCTGCCCGCCTGTGTGCACTGTAGTTCATGGACATGTGTACGCCAGCCCAAATATTGTGGATTCACACATGCATACTATATTGGATGTGTGCATTGTCGTCCACGGATGTGTACACACCCGCATTTAGGTGTGTGTACACCCATATTTAAGTGTGTGCACACCCGCATTTAGTTGTGTGCACGGTATATGTCCACATGTTTGTATTTTAAGGGTGTTTGCATGTGATTGCAACCCTATATAGATTAACAATCATATGGGAACTCATATATATATATATATATATATATATATATATATATATATATATATATATATATATATATATATATATATATATATATATATATATATATATATATATACCAGTAGGACCTATCCTTAGGTGAGGACGTGAGTACTAATCTGATCCTTTCATTTAATTAAGCCAACGACTGTGATTTATTTAATTATATGCAATGAATTTAATTTTCCGCACTCATTTTGCTGTGCATGCATTCTCAGTTTTTTGTGCATTCTGTGTTAGTTTGTTGTGCATTTATAGTGTGATTGTTGTGCATCCATCCCACTTTCTTGGGCAGCGCATTTTTGTTTTGTCGTAGCCTTTAGATCACTCAAAATGGATGATCTGCATTAGTCCATACATACATACATACATATATATATATATATATATATATATATATATATATATATATATAGAAAAACGTTCATATGTGGTCATGTTATTAGGTGTGGTTGTGTGGTCGTATCTGTGTCGTTGAATAAGTTTAATCTAACGATAGTGGTAATTATGAGGATTTTCGCGCGTTTTGGTAAGTAGGGGTGTTATGGTAATTACAGTGGCCATTTATAGCTGGTGGGTTCCAGAATACACCAACAGTGTTGACAACATGCACCAATAGTGTAATAAAACACACCATACACTAGTACAGAAACAGTCATTCGCGTCCAAAGTAAAACCTCATTCGCGTTCAAAGTAGCTGGGACGCAGATGTCGGGGACGCGAATTGTATACAATTCGCGTCCAAAGCTACTTTGGACGCGAAAAATGATTAATCGCGTCCAAAGTTGAAGAAATTTGGACGCGATTTATCCGATCTGACTGTTGACTACTGACTTTTTGCGTCCAAAGTTGGTCAACTTTGGATGCGAAAAGTCAGTAAATCGCGTCCAAAGTTCTTCGACTTTGGACGCGATTTATCATTTTGTTTTAATAAAATGATAATTCGCGTCCAAAGTTGAAGAACTTTGGACGCGAATTATTGTTTTTTTTTTAATTTATTAATAAATCCAGTTTTTTTCCTGTACAAAAAATTATATTTTTCATCCTGTACATGCAGTCACAACCACTACCACTTTCAAAACTTTCAACTAAAGTTCAATACATCATCAATTCGCCAACACTTTAACACTAAATAATTAAACTACACTACTTCAACACATGTGTAATAAGCTAGATAAGTACACTACTTCAACTAAGTTCAATACATCATCAATACGCCAACACTTTAACACTAAATAATTAAACTACACTACTTCAACACATATGTAATAAGCTAGATAAGTACACTACTTCAACACATATGTAATAAGCTAGATAAGTACCAACAATACATCATTACAATTCAACTAACTTATATAATTAAATCACACTTCAAAAATTTATATACATTCTTGAGTAAAATATTTAGCCCAAATCTCACGAACCTCATCAATTTGCGCTTCTGAATAAGGCTTTCTATTAAAGAATAATTCCTACAAAAATTTAAAATAATCAAATAATTAGTTTTAACATTACTAAAGTGTAATTTAAAACTATTTACTTTTAATAAATTTTACATACCATATCCAAATCATTAGAATCCCAACATTGAGTGCATATTTCATACATAAATCTCATCACATAATACCCGCACTCCACACCACCCGGTTGTTGAGGACACTAGAAAATATGTATATATATTAATATGTTAAACAATAAAAATATTAATATGAAATATGAAAGATATATATACCTCAATGTGAACCCAATCAACGTTATTTTTAGATCTTCTCCCTCCTAAAGTTTCAACCGATCAAAATGCCCTATAATATACAATCATAAATAATTTATAAACAATAATGGTTAATAATAATTCTCAAAATATAATATATATATATATATATATATATATATATATGTGTGTGTGTGTGTGTGTGTGTGTGTGTGTGTGTGTGTGTGTGTGTGTGTGTGTGTGTGTGTGTGTGTGTGTGTGTGTGTGTGTGTGTGTGTGTGTGTACTTACACATTCAATGTGGCCTTAATCTCAAACTCGCGATCACTTGATGCAATGGAGTCTAATACATAGACTTTTCTTAATGGAACAGAAATAACTAGAAGCATCCAATGATTTCTAAGGCATTTAAATGAATATGTTAAGTGTTATTCACAAATAATGCAATTAAGTTAAACAAATAATTAAAAATATAAATATAGTTTTCTTACTTTTCATGGTATGGAGCTAAAATGAAGTGTCGATTCGTCTGTTCAACCATGGCATTCACAAGATATTTTGAGACCTTATCAATATCCGCAAGTACAGAGTCAGCACAAATAGTCCTTGGGCAGAGGAATCCAATTGTATGAACTCCAATTTTAGAGCACATCCGACTAAGACATCTACAACATATATATAGATAATTAATAAAAATGAACGACTAAAGACAAGTTTTTAAATATAAAAACATTATAAAAAATACTTACATTATAAATATTTGTAATATGGTCACATCAAGTCATCGCATCGTCAACAAGTCTTTAATATCTTGAAACAACACGTGAATGAAATCCACATCTTGATGATGGAAGATTGCCTCATCTAGATCCACGTTAATGTAATCTAAATCGAAAGGCAGGTTCTTAATAAGTCTGACCAATTTCTTAGATTCATCTCCCAATTGCTGCAGTGTATCATCATCAACAAGAAGTGGTCGTAATTGGACAGCAGATTGATCACCACTTTCAAAATTCATCATTCGGGTTTGTTTTGGATTTTCCTATGAATCAAAAGTAAAGACATAATAACAAGTAGATCGAATATCAAATATTCAAAATATTAAAGATATTCAATATTACCTTAACTTTGTTGACTTGATCAATAGAATGACAACTGCTCCGAGTTGGTGTGCCAACTTTTGGACTTGCTTGTACATTCTTCATCAAATATTCCAGTTGGGATTGCATCAAATTAAACTTGGGCTGCATATCTTTCATTGTTTCTTTTCTAATCTTTTCAGCCACTTTGTCATATATTCTCTTCTCTATGATCTTCTCCATATCACTAACTGAAACAAGCCCAGCTGAATTTCCACGACTTATGCTCTCCGGTTTACCAAACACATCCCGAATATTGGAGTACACTCCAACACCTCTCACATAGCCACTGTACTCATTGGTGCCAAGAACTGTTGTCAATACATCATTTTGCCTTTTTGGTTGGAATGAGCCTTGACTTATCTCTTCACACTTCTCAACCTATATTTCAACACAAAAAAAAAAAGATTTAAAATTTACATGTTAGCTAGTAATCTCGTCAATAATATATATATTTAAAGTATTTGTATTACTTACAATTTTATCCAAACACTCCCTTCGTTTTTTCATTGGGAATGTAATAACTTCCATCTTCAGATTTTTTAGATCGCGCTCGAACCCAATCCAAACTACGATCAGTAGATGATATGTTCGAGGTAATAGCCGCACAAGAAGATTGTGAAGACAATGGGTCGCATATCAACCACTCAGACTGCTTTCCAACATAGCCCGTAGACCCTAAATAGTGAGGATGCACATTTCGCGCTTGCAACTCCCTATACTTTTGACTGTTGGCCTGCTCACACAAAAGTTATTATTTAATAATATGTTAATAATAACCATGTTACATGATTATTAAGGAAGTAAATTATGTACTGTACCTTGGCAGCTTCAGTTTCATGCGTGGTTACAAATTGCACCCATTTTTTTTCATCCATGAACTTATACAACTCACAGGGAGAGCTATATTTTTCGTTCGGTTTGTTGATGAAGTCACGGTCCAATCTTGTTTTGAAATCTTTCCAACGTAGCCTTGCATGGACCAAAATATGACTTCTTCTCGACTCAGGGAGATTAAACTCTTTCTGAAAAACAACAATAAAATAACAATTAATTAGGCCTTTATTGACATTAACATATATAAACTAATGAACTCAAAACTAAAATGAAATAATGATCAATATATAAATTAAATTATTGACTATTACCTTAAGTTCATCCCAGACTGCATCTTTAACCGCAGTTG